ATTATTATACATGGTATTAAAAAAAATGTAAATATACATAAATGTAAAAAATGATGTATAAAAAGGATTTAAAGGGACATATTTGTCATTTACCTATTTTATCTCGGGATAAGTTATCCCGGGATTACTATACCACCTATGGGGAGGGATAACTTATCCCGGTACTAATTATTAATCCCGGGATAAGTTATCCCGGACTTGCCAACCAAACAACATAATTTTTTTTTATCCCATCACTATTTCCTTATCCCATCACTATTATTTCTAATCCCTCACACCAAACGAGCCCTAAATGTTTTTAATAGTGTATATTAATAATAAAACAAAATATAACTCATACATTGTTTCTGTTTTACAAGCATGAAAATATAATTATAATTTCGTACTTTATTATGAAATACTACAGAACATATAGTCTTATTTACCTCAAAGAACATATAGTGATTTGTGGGGACCAGCCCCTGTGGCATCACCTCAAGAAATAAAATACATGTTACGATTGCGCTAGATATACTTGGATCTACCCTTTAAAGAAGAAATCTGACTTTTTTCTATCTTTTTGAACTTTCAAAAACTAGTAGAAAATCAGTCGTCTACGAATATCAAAGTGTTTCAAAGTGACGGTGACAATGAATTTAATAGTTTGGATTTTGTGAACCACTTAGCTCAAAATGGCAAACAACAAGTTTCTTGTCCACATACACTTGAACATAATGGAGTCGCCGAAAGAAAACATAGACATATTGTTGAAACCGTCATGACTTTGCTTTTTAATGCAAAAGTACCGTTGTTCTTATGGGTTGAAGCCTTTATGACTGTTGTCTTCCTGATTAATAGAATGTCTACAAGTACATTGAATATGAAATCTCCGTTCTCAAAGTTACATGGACACTCACCTAATTATAACTCTTTGAAAGTTTTTGGGTGTCGATGCTTTTCATATCTTAAGGGACAAAATAAAAATAAATTCCAACCAAAAACGTTCCCTTGTGTGTTCATAGGCTACAATCTAATTCACAAGGGATACAAATGTTGTCATCCTCATATAAGAAAGTTTTGTATTTCGAGACATGTTATTTTTGATGAATTGTATTTACCTATGTGCCTACTAGTGTTTATCTCTCTGCAGAATCTTATGCTTCACACCTTACAACCTTTCAAGAATTTTTGGGTACAAACAATCTTGAATGTGAATATACATCTGCTTCTGTTGACTACGCAGAAGGTGCCTTACACCAGCTCTAACAACACCTCATGTATGCATGCCATCAATGGAACAACCTGCATCTTTATCTCAATGTGACCAACTTGCTAAATTAAATGATTCTGTGAACTCACAAAATATTGCAGCCCCTAATTCTCCTCATGGAAGCAGCTCTTCCATAATGCAAGCTAGCAACAACAATTCATCAACGCAAGTTGGCAATAGCAACTCATCAAATCTTCACTCATCCAAAGTCCCAATACCTTGTGGAACTTCCCTCTTTAACTTGTGTTGCACCTTTACCTGAAGTTGATCCTATTGAGCCCATTGCCCCTACATCACCAGATATGCAAATAGAAAATACTCACCCAATGCTCACCCCAGGTAAAACACAAACTTTGCCTAATCCTACCTTTCAATCCCGTATTTTCACAACTTTCTTACAACCTGATATCTCTGCAGAATCAAAAATAATTAAATCCGCTCTTTCTAGACCACATTGGTTAACTGCTATGAATGAAGAGCTAGCAACCCTGAAATCTAGTGACACATGGATGTTGGTACCTCGACAACCTCATAAGATCATTGTTGGGTCTAGATGGGTGTTCAAAACAAAAGTAAAGTCGGATGGGTCAGTGGAACCCTTTAAGGCTCATCTCGTTGCCAAAGGTTACAATCAACATGCTGGTATCGACTTTGATGACACTTTTAGTCCCGTTGTTAAAACTATGACCATTCACATTTTGTTGTCGATTGCAACCACCCTACATTGGGAGATTAACCAGCTAGACGTCAAGAATGCTTTCTTACATAGTTATTTCAGTTCTAATCTATGTAGGATTTTGTATTTAACAATATTTCGAGTGTTGCATTGAAGTTGGGAAGTGAATGCGTGTAGTTTCCCTTTTCAATACATTACAAGTTATAATATGGCGGAGCCAGGATTTGTATTAAGGGCTTCCAAAATATAAAGATAGAAAACACAACCTCAAACAATTTTTGTAACCCCTTAACCATTACACTAAACCTTCAACTTGTATTACGAGGTGTTAATACTTGTATATATATATTTATTAAACCAAATTTTAACGTATATATACACAGTGTAATTTTCCAACGAAGGGTGTCGCTTGACATCCCTTGCCCTAGAGTAGCTCCGCCCCAATCTATAGCATATATTGTTGCTTCATCAAAGTTATTAACATCTTCTTATGTGATGTGGTAATGTTCCACCAAATATCTTTCTTAGAAAAAATGTTGACTATAATTATTGGCCCCACTTTGACATTCTTGTAAAGTCAAGGGGCATAAAATTTAGAGTTGTCAAAAAGGGCCGGTCCAGCGCCACCCAGCCCAAGCCTCACGGACCAAGGAATTTGATGGGCTAGGGCGAACCGGCCCTTCATTTGGAAGAGCCTAAGAATGCACTACCCAACCTAACCCTAGAAGGTCCGAGGGATGGGGTGGGCTAACCCTTTTTTTTTCCTTCTCAAACTTAAAAATCTATAACATCAAGAAAATGAGAAGATTTTCAAATCAAATATGGAAAATAATGGTGTTGTTTCAATAAAACTAGCAAAAAAATCTAGTGTTATTAGCATGAATCTACGATACTAGATACACGAGATACATGTATCTGGTGTGATGCATTCCAGATACGTGAGTGAGATAAGAGAGTGACGAGTGAGAAGAGAGGAAGGCGAGGGCATTGGATTTGTGTATGTATCCTAGATACATGTGAATCCACTTGAATAGAGTGTATCTAGAATAAATTAAACTAATTTTGAGTCCATGTATCCTGAGATACATGTATTTGGATGTACCAAAATCTAATAAGCTTCGTAATATTACAACATAACATGCATTTAAGTAATTAGCTCATATACTAGTGAGATTGTTGTAAATTACCCTTAAATAAATAGTTTTGGCCCATGGAGCGACCCTGACCCGGCCCTAATCAAGCCTCGAGGGCCAAGGGCTTATAAGCCCTAGTTTTAATTTGGCTTGAAAAATCCTATTTCAACCCTACCCAATAAAAAGTTGGGTTGGGCCGACCCCATGTACTAAGCCCATTTTGACAGCTCTAATAAAATTATGTTAATTTTCTTTTCTTAGGGACCTTTTTTTGACTATTAAAGATTTTTTTAATTGAAAGAATTAAACTTTTAGACTCTTTGACAAAAGGGTACAAGAGATTATCCTCACCATGAAATGGGAAAGAACATTAAATATTCATTAAAAGTTAATTGAATATGGATGTGTCGTAGTGGGTGGATACCTCTCTAAGTTCCCTATATAATAAGCCAAATCTGGTTCGTTTTTCTTCATCTCAATCTTTCATTTTAAATTTTCTACCCACTAAAAAAATTCTTAGTTATTTCCTTCATAAATCAGCCTCCTTTATTATCTTTTTCCTCACTCTTCTCTCACAGAAAATATTATTAGTTTTTTTAATAAACACATTAATAAATCCTTAATGATTTTCTTGCCCCTATCTCATTTTTTTTTGCAGTTAACTAGATCTAAAATGGAGGATAATAATTGGGATTTAAGTGTTGTAGTAAGAAGTTGTAATAGTAATGAACCTAACAATGTTACTGCTCCTAACTTAGGCTTGGTGTCTTTTGAAAATAATGATTGGAATACTTTTGATGATTTTTTTTCTACTGACATGCCTAATTTTAATGACTTATCTGAGATTTTCTCTATAGATTTTTCAATTGCTCACCAAGAAAAAATAGATGATCAGGTCATAATTATGGACCAAAATAATAATCAAGAGACATACTCACATCCCATTCAACCAATTCAAATTAGTCAACAAATCATTCTTCCTCCATTACCAACAACAATAACATGTGTGCCAACAACAACTACGACACCACAAGAATTGATTGATCGACAACAACTTGAAAATTTTGATGATCAGGTCATAATTATGGACCAGTACTTACATCCCATTCAACAAACTCATTTTGGCCAACAAATCTTTCTTCCTTCGTTACCAACAACGGTAACATGTATGTCAACAACAACTATAACACCACAAGAATTGATCGATCTACAACAACAACCTAAAAATTAGATTATCAGGTCATAATCATGGACCAAAATAATAACCAGGAGATGTACTTACATCCCATTCAAACAACTCAATTTGGCCAACAATTTTTTCTTCCTCCATCGCCAACAATGACAACGTATGTGGCAACAACATCTACAACATCACAAAAATCAATTGATCTACAACAACATTTTTTGATGTAGGATCAAGTTTATCCTAATTTAATTATGCCCATGAAGACTCCTCTGATCGAAACTTGTAGAAGGTAACTACTTCCTCTGTTAAATTTTAAGTGTATGTGTTCAGAGTTTTTGTTTTAATACTTTTAATTTGAAATCAGAAAAAATCAGTCAACAAGAGTTATCTATGAAGTGTTGCAAGAGGAATTCACAAATGATAAATGGGCATGGCGTAAGTGTGGTCAGAAGTCAATCAAAGGTTATCCATTTCCAAGGTTTGCTCTCTTCATCATTCTATCATATCGTAGAAAATGTTGTTAGTTCTCAATTTTCATAGATAAAAAGTAGTAAAAAATATTAATGGTAAATATAAACAAGTGTAATATTTGATCAGTACTAATTATATTTTGTGTATATGATATATCAGGAACTACTTTAAGTGTAGTACATCAAGATCCTGCCAAGCAAAGAAAATAATTGAGAAAATTCCAAAGAATGAGAACTATTTATGTGTGTCCTATTCTGGTCAACACAACCATGATCCTCCTACATATCGCAGATCTCTTGCTTTATATAACAATAGTTCCAAAAACAAACTTCCAAAAAGCATAAATATTGTGCCCAAAGTGTTAAACTTGAATGCATCATCATCCTCGTCCAAGCATGCTAACCGTTTCAAAGTTGATGCCTCTTCAATTAGTCAAACTGCAACTACACTTGAAATTGAGAGAAAAAAACGGTTGATGTTGTCACGGAGAACAAAGATGATGGTGAAGAGGAGGAGAACGCGTATGACAATTTTTTCATGGGGTTTTAAGAATTTCAAGAAGTTACTGCTTCCATCTTATGGGAATGAAATGAACAAGAGGAATTGATCTTTTTTCCCCTCTCCACCAACTCTATTATGTGCACCTTTTGTCTTCTAGTCATGTTTCTTTTTTAGTTATAAGTGGGGTCAAAATTTTAGATTTATAGTTTGTTATGTTTAACCATGTCATAGAAATATGGTGCTTCTCTAGGTAGCTAGATATGAATCATTTCCAGTTTCTTCATTTTTGTTGTTTTTTAATATGAAAATTTG